TTGCTGTAATTGCAAAATCTGGTTTCAACATATATATAAAATCTTTGAAGAACGTGATGCTGCGAATTTAGCAGCAAGTTAACGGTCGCATTTAATTTTTTGAAAGCCAAAGAGCAGCAAACTTTATTAAAGTTTTGATGACGGCCCCATCTTGTTTAGCATGCAAAGCCGCAAATAATTTCGCTGTAGGTTTCTTCAGCTTGAAGCATTTGGTTTCTTCATGATGAAGAATTCTACACCGTCTCTTTTTCTTGCTTATAAATAGAAGCGCAAGTTCATATTGTTTTGAATAAGTGTGTGAGAGTTAAATATTTTTATTCCCATAGCTTTCTTTGTGTACTCAATTTTGTGTATCATCCTATGAGGATTATTGGGTGTATTGAGATTGGGATTTAAGTGCTAGAGTTATTTCCACCTGTTGTAGTCTACTTCATTTTAATAGATACTTTTGATCTATCTTTCGCCTGTGTAATAGGCACACTGTGGAATCATGTAAAAACTTGTGTCATGTGTGTGCCAGTCTATTTTTCCCTCTTATTTCCTTTATCTCATATTGCTTTGTTTTCCAATCCAATTTTTTGTATTTGTTGCTCTGCGCATAACATAACAAGTGTTTACAACCAATACAACATGGTTTTCTTACAAACACTGTTCTTCCTTTTACTTGCAGCATTTGGTCACTCCCTTCCAAGGCTCCAGCCTAAGAACTCTACTCCTGCAGGAAAACCAAATTTTTGGATCAATTCCTCACAGCTTAGCAAATCTTTCAAGTCTTTTTATCCTGAATTTAACATCCAATCTTCTAAATGGAAATATTTCCTCTGAGATCTGCAGATTACCAAACTTGGAACAACTTTTCTTATCACACAACCTTCTCAAGACTTAAATTCCAAAAGCATTTGGCAAGTGTCAACATCTGGGTCTACTAGATCTGTCACACAATGAATTTTCAGGTAGGATTCCAGAAAGTTTGGGAAATTTGGTCCGGCTAAATTCTTTGTTTCTAAACAATAACCTTCTCTCAGGAACAATACCTCCTACATTGGGACGGTGCACTAATCTGTACAAGCTAGACTTGTCCTATAATAGATTAACAGGAAGCATCCCACTTGAACTCTTAGGCTTGCATGAGCTCAGAATTTTCATAAATGTCTCGCATAATCATCTTGAAGGCTCCCTGCCGATTGAGCTCAGCAAATTAGAAAAGGTTCAGGAGATGGATCTTTCATCAAATCACCTAACTGGAAGTATCTTCCCTCAGATAGCAGGATGCATTGCTGTCTCTATGATAAATTTTTCAAACAATTCTCTTCAAGGGGAGCTCCCAGAATCCTTAGGAGATCTGAAGAACCTTGAATCTCTTGATGTTTCAAGAAATCAATTATCTGGATTGATACCAACAACACTTGGTAAAATTGGCACACTCACTTTTCTCGATTTATCATTTAACAACCTGGAGGGAAAGGTTCCATCTGGTGGCATCTTTAATTCAATGTCATATTTATCATTCTTAGGAAATCCACAACTTTGTGGGACAATTACAGGCTTATCCCAGTGCTCTCATAAGAGACGATGGTTTCAAAGACGTTTGTTCTTGATTATATGCATCTTGGTCATTTTCATATCAACATTCTTGTCAGTAATTTGCTGTGTAATCGGATGCAAGCATCTTAAAGAAATCATTTCGTCTCAGAGGACTGAGGGACCAGATAGACCCGAGTTGATAAGTAACTTCCGGGGACCAAGTAATTTAATTAGTTCTTATCAAAGTAGGAAAACTACCATTCAAGTTAAATGTGCCACAATTTGACACCAACGAAACAAAATATATGACATAATTTTTGGCATCTCATACATATACTAGCAAGATAACATTCCTGTTTATAAGGGATACTGACCAAAATGTCACTGTTCACCAACTTTTTTATCTAAATGCCACACGAACAGTGTTATTTCCCAATCTGCCACGGGGGCAAGCTCGCTTCTGACACAAGCGACGCCTGTGTCAGAAGCGAACTTTGACACCACCAGAAAGCTGACACATCAACAAACCGAGGTCGCTTGTGTCAGAAGCGAACTTGCCCCGTGGCAGATTGAAAAATAACACTGTTCGCGTGGCATTTAGGTAAAAAAGTTGGTGAACAGTGGCACAATGGTCACTGTTCCTGTTTATAATGTGTTTGCTGTAAGCATTTAAGTAGCTTCCATAAATTTGGAAAACATCAATTTAGGTCCAAGAAGTCATCAATAGTCTTCCACACTTTCTCATGCAGAATATGGATTTGGATCAAATACATCTACCAAAGGAGATGTCTATAGCTTTGGCATTCTAGTTCTTGAGATGGTGACTAGAAGACGACCAACAGATGACATGTTTGTTGGCGGGTTAAGTCTGCACAAATGGGTAAAAAGTCACTATCATGGAAGGGTAGAAAAAGTGGTAGACCCTGCTTTGGTAACAGCTTCAGGAGATCAATCCCAAGAGGTTTAGAAGATGTGGGAAATTGCTATTGGGGAGTTAATTGAGTTGGGGATCCTTTGCACACAGGAGTCACCTTCAACAAGACCTACCATGCTTGTTGCAGCAGATGACATAGATCGTCTCAAGAGATACCTTAATGGGGACACAAGAGGAACTTTTGCCTCCTCTCTTGGAATTTCATCTTCTACAATAGGTGGTGATTAACGTTTCTCTCTTTTTTCAGCGGATAATGGTAAATGCTCCAGTTTTCTCATATACTTGTGCAGTGTACAACCCAAAACTTGCAATGATAAATTGAAATTTTATAAGGGATTTGCATCTATCATGTCACATGACACAAAAAAAATTTTCTACACACGTAATATTTTGTGGGACCTGCATTTTTTGAAGTAAAGAAAAAAGAAACTAAGGCACACAAAACGAATCTCTGTAACATTACACAATTACTTCTCTTACAACATAACTCTTATAAAATCGATTTTATAAAGGGAAAAGATATTAGCATATAACAAGAACGAACCAATTGAAGACATCTAAATTGCATAACATGACATGTCTATGCTGTAAGCATGTAATAATAAACTGTGGATTATTACACCATAGTTTGGGTAACGTTAATATATTCTTCTTCTTCTTTTTTGAAATATTTCAATCCATTCATTACTTCGTAATTAATTTGATTTAGAGCTGATTCAGAATTAAGACTTTAAACTCTTCTCAAAAGTAGTATTGAGAAGATAACTTTAAGATATTCTAAATGATATATCCAGCGTGATTCTCATAAAACACGTATACAATCCATTGATTAATTTACCCTAACAATACCATTTCTTGAAAGAAATCACAAAATAGAATTATATAGAATTATATGAAATTAGAATACTAAAAATTTAGACTTACTTGTAAAAGAAGTGATTTTTTATTTCTGCTTGCTCTAAGATTTGAAAGAACAAGACGTTCCTCTGCACTTTACACCGTTACCTTCCCAATTCAAACAAACACACTGTATCTTAAATGATTTTCACACGTGTTCTGGTAATTTTATCATCGACTCTTCCTAAACTTCACCGTATCAAAGTCAACACGTCACCTCGCTCAATTTATTTATTTATTTTTCTTTCACGTGTTAACCTCTAGGTTTTGAAAACTTCAACCTTAGATTTCTTTCAACTGATAATTTTTTTAAAAGTAAAATCATTTTTTAATTTGGTAATGCATTTATTTCTAGATTTTCATGAAATAAAATTGGAAATTATTTTGTAATAAATAGAGGATAAATATATATTTATTTTTAAGATAAAATTATTTTAAATATTTATTTCTTTTATATATATATAGTTGGAGAACCTCAATTTTTCATTTCGCTTGCATTTGGTTATTTTGGGAGTGATATTAACGTAATAGAATCATAGTAGTTAAAGTCTTGATTTATCATTATGATTTTACGTTTTTATTATTTTTTTATCAAAATAATTTTATCAATATTTCAAACGATTTTATGTTTTTATGATTTTTTTACGTTATCATTTTAAGTTTTACAATTTTTTATTCTCGTTCTGATTTTACGTAAAATCTCGATTTTAACTGACTTGGATAGAACTTTCCATGTATTGATTTTGTTAATAAAACGTACAAGTAATTATTCATATAATTTTATGTTAAAAAATAATTAAATATTGGAAAAATATTTTCTCATGTTGTAGAAGAGTTATTAGTTATTTTTTCTATTAGCAACCCTTTGATTTTCATGCAATATTTTCTTTTACTTTTTTATTTTTTAATAGATATGAACACCATATGTATCTATTATATGAGAAATTTTTTTTATTATAGTTGCAGAAAAGACCTTGGAATATTCCCGTAAACAAACCAAAATAGCAGTTTTAGGTGAGGTCGACAAAACGGGCTTGGCTTGGCAAGCCAACCCGCCCCACCCGTCAAATGAGACGTGGAGGGTTGACGGCGGGTATAGGCGGGGCGAGGTCAGTCAATATAAAATAGACTCGGGCTGGTGGTTAACTCACCTAGCCCGCCAATAGGGAGGGGCGGGTTAAGTTTTTCAGTCTACCTTCAAAAGTGGAGCGGGACAGGTTGATTTGTTTTTTGACGGATTGATGGCGGGTCAGGGTAGAGCGGATCACTCACTTTGTCACCTCTAGTTTTAAGAAGAAAAAAAAAAGGTAAAACAAACAGATAAAAAAACACGAGGAAGATTATACTTACAACTTTTTTTTTTACAACCTCTTACAACAATATTTTAATACCGTTCATTTCCGCCAATCAACGGTTATCTTTTATTGTGAATTAATTAATGAATTTAATTTACGAAAATCATAATCGTTGATTGGCAAAAATCAATGGTGTTAAAGATATGGTTGCAAGAGGATGTAGAAAAAAAAAAGTTGTAAGTATAACCTTCTAAAAAAACATATAATTTTAATTACAAATCCGAACATGGAAGAGGTAAACCAAGACTGCAACTCTGTTTTTTCGCTTGTCTGAGTCCCAAAATACAACCCACGACGTCACATTTGACCCAATGGATAAGAACGGTGAGTCCCACGTAAGATGAGATGCCCCCAATTCTCCATTAACATAAATATTTTCCTTTCCTATATATATACACAACTTCCACTTCCACTTTAATCGTGGTGTATTTGATTTGATATCCCTTCCCAAAGAGGCTTTATCTATTCTGATTCTGCAATTATTTGAGTTTCAGTTATTTATAACCAAAGCAAAGGTTTGGTGTTAGACATTTGTGAATTTGGAAATTAAGAGCTTAAAATACAATGGCTGCTGCTGCTGCTGTTGGTGGTGTTATTGGTGGGTCATGGATGCAATTGAGAGGCAGAGAAAGGAAGCAGAAAAGTGTTAAGATTTGTTGCTCTTCTTTGACGGATTCTTATAAGACTTTAAGAATCAAACCTGGTGTCTCTCGAATTGAGGTTAAGAAGGCTTTCAGGCAGCTTGCTCTCCAGGTACATGTCCATCTCCCTTCCTTTTTTTAATTTTTTATTTACGTTTTGGATTTTGTTCTATGAATTATGAAATGCTCTCTTTCCTTTGAAATCGGAATTCGTCATGAGATTCATCTGAAAGTGGGTCTATTTCTCTGAAAGAAAAATAAAAATGTTAACATTAGTTCTTTGGTATTTTGTTTTGTTTCAGTATCATCCAGACGTTTGTAGAGGAAGCAAATGTGGGGTCCAGTTTCACCAGATCAACGAGGCTTATGATGTGCGTTATCTTGTCTATACTTGACTGAATTTTAGTTACATAGTGATTATTTCTTTACACTGCACTCAATGGAGACTGAAAATTTCTGGTTTTCACTTATTAGTTCGTACAATGGTTGTTATTGTTTTTTCCCCTCAAAATGCTTTCTTTATATATATATTTAAAATGGAAAATGTTATACTTACGACCTATTTTCATTTACAACCTATTTTCGTTTACAACCTCTTACAACTATATCTTAACCGTTGAACGGTTATCATTTATTGTGAATTTATAATTAATTAATAAATTTGATTTGCGAAAATCTTAACCGTTGATTTTCAATCAACAGTTACGATATGATTATAAAAAGTTGTAAACGAAAATAGGTTATAAATATAACCTTTCCCATCGTTAAAATTGTATATAGTTATAAGGAACATATAGGTTTGGTTGGTTATTAGTATTACTTTACTATAAGGAGGCTGATGCTGAGTCAAATCATGGCCTATTTGGAATATAATAATGATGAGCTCATGAAATGGGATTAATAGTTGGTATGATTTGATCAATCCCCTAGTTGGTGTTATTCTAAAGCAACGAAAGCAATAACTTATCATCTTTATTCGCCCATGGTTTCTAGCAGAATTTAGACTTTATAATTATAAGACAACCATATTCTATCTAATTGGGATTTCCATGTTGCTAATGTGGAACGCAGATTGTGATGGCCAATTTGAGAGGAGAATCCAATGGGACAGATATGTATGAGGCTAATGATGCAGGGAAAGATGAACCTATATATCCAGATTGGGACTTGTGGGAAGAGTGGATGGGATGGGAAGGAGCAGGAATTCGTGATTACACATCTCATATTAATCCTTACATTTGAAATTTTTCTGTAATTTATTATGTATTTTCTGAGTCATTACTATGTATTATGATGTTAGACCCACTTGTCGTCATCAAAAGTGGTTGGTGTTCCGTGTACATAATCCAAGTGGGCGAAGAGTCAATTTTCCTCTTGCATAATTGGAGTTGAGGAACTTTGTGTCAATAATACAAATGGAACTTCAAAAAAAGAAAAAGTTCTTTTCATGAACTGTGTGGAACATGTCATATCCTAAATTTATCCTTTCCCCAATCAATGCTTCACTGGTAATAAAATGTGATCCCTGCAAATAAAGATGATTTTCCTAATTACGAAGCTATCTTGAAAACATTATTCCTTTCTGATCCGGATAAAATATGATAGGCCCATTAAAAGTCCAAACACATAGAACGAGATCCAAACCCACTAGGCCCAGAGCGAGGCACGATGGCTTCCATCGTGCACAACATAACACGATGCCATCATCGCGCATGCAACCTTCCTTTAACATAATTTCAGAGATAGGGAAGCAAATTCAGGAACTAATAAAGGTCCACCGCGCCATTGAGCAAATAAACAGAAGACAGCACCAGTTTGTCACCACTCTACCAAGATAGCCTGACATAAAGGGATAAAGCTATGAAAGCACCAGCTGAACCTGCAGCCCTTGAGCATCCAATCAAAGGCCATACCGTCTTCCTGAGGCGGCATTAGAACTACTATATAAACAAAGGGTACATGCTCAGGTATTATCATCTAATTCAGTAAAAATACACATAAACATGTCATTGATACTGACTTGAGCGTCGGAGTGTCATTGCAGGTACCCCCAGTCAGGATCATCGCGCTGAAGGAGAACCAAAGTCATTCCGTCATCATCAAACAAACCCCCAGCCCAGGAAACAGATTACCCAAAGGCCTTCTCACTTCAATCGTGTGTGATTTAGTCGGATACACTTTGCCAACCAATATTGTATTAGTGTGATCACTTCCCTTTTGCAAGATTGTATAACTCATATCATACGAAGTATAGCACTACACCTCAACAATCGATGGCTCTTATTTATCTTTTAGTTTATAACTATATGAGATTACATTTTCTTATGCAATAGGACATAAGATATCTCATGTTGCACTCACAAATTTATGTGAGTCTCATTGTATAGAAAAAGAAAAGAAAAATTGAAAATGAGCCACGTCTTTTTGAGTGCGTAAAAGATATTTATTGTCTCCTATCACATGACCATAATATTTCCCTAACTATATATATATATGATAACGAATAATTTACTATTCTTTTTAAATGCGAATATTTTTATTTGTTGCAAATATAAATAATGAAGTAAAAATAATTCTTATTTGTAATATGAAATTCTGATGAAAATCAAATACTGGAAAAATATTTTGCCTTCTAGGTTCCTGATTGTGCATTGTTGTTGTTTTTATAAGGATATTTTTTTTGCTTCATCCTTAGAGATAGCAATCAAGGTGCAGAATATCTAGCAAAATGGGATTCTCATAATGAAGAAGTCTGGTCCATCTGGAGAAATTCTCCTCGAGGCTAATTGTTCAGCTTAGCTGATTCATCCCGGTGCTTATTCTATTACACTGTACTACTTCTCCTTTTCTCTGATCTGCTAGAAAAAAAGAAAGGAAAAGAAAGAACAGATTTACACTCTACTTGGATTGCACGTTTCTTTTAACCTGGAATTTAGTAAATATAGGGCATCGTCTTCATTCCATAGTTGAGTCCAAAAATAAGAAAAATCATATTTTAATTACGATTTGAGAATCTCCTATTGCAAAATTTATGAATTGGGTTGAGAAGAGGCTTACATATTTATTATCAAATGAGATTATGAGAAATAAGGATAACAAGAATGATATGGACTAGTGAATATATATAGGGAAAGTATTTTCTCCTTTTAAAGGAAATTTTTTTTCTTCTACTAGTGACTCATAGTATAAGTGGGGCTTACAAATTATTCGATAGAAAAAAATTCAAGGTGAGACTCACTTATGCTTTGAGTCACTAGTAGGAGAAAAAAAATTCAAGGTGGGACACAAAATAAGCTTCTTCAGTCACAGTACCTCAATCTACTGGATATTCTCATCTGCTTCTGTATCAAATCTATTTAAAAAAAGAAAGAAAAATCAATTATGAGCATCTTCACTTTGCGTAAGCAAATGAAGTGGTTTTCACAATATATGCAGAAAAAAAAAAATATGTCAAAGAAATAAAACTACAAATATAAATTAGAAACTACATAACTCTTTTTCAAGCTTTTTTTTTTCGCAGTTCGAACAGCTGAACAATTAAATTCTCCAGCAATGGAATCATGAGAATTAATCACCAGTGTCAACAAAGTCAGAGAAATATCACCAACGTCAGCACTATCACAGGTCTGACTCTCAACATCCTATTGTTTTTTTAAAAAAAACGGTACGTCAAGTAGTTATCAAAATATCTTTTTTCATAACATCAATTTAAATTCAAATAATGGGTTACCAACACCTTTTCTTGTTCTGACGATACAATTTCATTTTCGCGAGCATTATTGAAATTTGCTTCATCCTGTGATATACAACAACCAACAACAGTCAACAAAATGAATAAGAAAACTGGATATCTCCCAGAAATAAATAAGCAGCATACATTTGGGTTGATTAGAAACTTAAGGAATGCTGAAATTATTTCTTCGCTAATATAAATTTAGAAACTTGATATTTTGGCTCACTGTATGAGTTCAAATCCTTTTGCTTCACATTAAGTTTAAATAGCATTGACTTCTCATTCAGAACATTTAGTTCTTCTGGAAATTGATCCAAATCCGCACCCTAAAAAAATAAATAAATAAACAGGGCACAAAACGTTATAACAACTATAGCGCAAACAGTGTGCAAAAAATGACAAAATATATAGGTTCACTATTTCACAGGAATGATAATACAAACCCTCTTGAAATGCAGCTCGCGCAATTCACCAACGCTCATTCCCAACAAAGAAACACAGTCTCGATCAAACAGAAGAAATGATGCAGAATCTATGTTATCCACAACTCTGACTTGAACACTAAATCTATCATTTTGCAAAATTGTACATCAGCAACAAATATTAAGGATCCGGATTAAAGACAATTTATAAACCAAGAACAATATATTACCTTGGATAATAATCTTCCCAATATTTTGGCAGTTCTTACAGCACCACTTCTCAAAATCCTCAAAAACGAAAAATGGACATTTCTTGCAAGACTTGTACCACAAGTTTTATTTGCTCTCAATGGATTTTATAGTCCCATACGTGATGTACGTCGTAACCTTAAATATAGCCATCGCAGGTAAAAAAGAAACATCATCAATACATACTTGATATAAATAAATAAAAGCATCAAACAGACTTCAATATTTACCTCACCACAAAGCTTCACATCATTGGTAGACTTTTTTCAGTCTCCTTAAGAAAATCATTTTCGAAAGAATATGAGGACTAAGTAGACAACTGAGTGAACCTCAGACTACTTTCCACACCATCAGCGGAAAGACTATAAAGCAAAAATTTATAGCACTATAAGTGAATAACCTGAATAAACGTGACACATAAGTTTAAGAATAATAAACACACCATTTTTTGAACTCAATGATCTCTGGCACCTTCGAATCTATGACAATCCTTGTTGTATATTTTGTATTCGTTAAACCGATCTTACCTATCGAATAAAAAAATCGAATAAAAACATAATATAGAAGCTAAAAATCAAATAACGTTTCGTTTGGGAAAAACCATACACCTAAAACATTTTATCCTTCCCAGTTGAAATATTATGACGTTATGAGGAGTGTCGTTGTTTGCCAAAAGAAATTGCACCTCATCCACATAATGCTCCCACAAAGTGCACTCCAGCTTGTGACCCCTACATATGAGTTGCAGCAAGAACAACGTTATACACGAAACATATAAGCTAACAGAGCGGCAACAAAATTATTTTATTTTACTCTAACATTTTAAATACCTCAGGTTGTCAAGCTCCAACACAACCATTTTGGTTTTTCTACCAGAAACTACATGATCACCAACTTCCCATTCCTAAGAGTAAACCAATGACGTCTAAAAAACAAAGAGGGCAGCAATGAGTTTGTCATAAAAAATGCAATAATTAAATAATGAACATCAGTAAGGAAAAATATATTACCTACTAAATAAGGAGAGTCAAATGATTCTTTCTCAATGATGTCATAATCAACAAAATCAAATCCACTCGCAGAAAGATTAGAATCAACAATCGATTTAACATCAGTCCTTAAGTTGAAAGACAAACGATATTGATGCTTGGTTGACCTGAAAATATTGCTATTGAATCCAACTCCAATTTTTTTTATAAAATAGCACTCTCCTTCATGGATTTTCTTCCGCACCTGCAAAGAACCTTTGATAGTGGCGTGGATCCTACCACCCTACAATAAAGCGCAACCAAAGTACATCAATAACATTAACTAAAGTGATCAGAACAAAGACGGAAGATTTTAAAATATTTAAAAAACGCATACAACTACTTGTTCATCCAATAAAACCATTTCAACATTGTCGTCAAAATCTTTACGTTGAAAATTAGGAACTTTTCAAGCCCGAACTACCTTAACCTTAATCCTTCAATCCTCCTTGGTAGGATTAACATCCTTCAAAAAATCATATTTTGAAAACGTATTGTTTGGGAAGACAAAAAAAAAAGGCAAGAAGCGATTTTGTTGAGAAGGCAATTCGCGAAATGCTGATATTCGGCAGCAGCAAAAAAAGAAAAAATCGACAGAAGCAACAAAGGAAAAATCCTTCCCAAGCGTTCCTATTTTATACACGGAAGCAGATGTATTTTTTAAATTTTTTAACAAATCCAATGTAGAATTTTTTAACAATTCCTTCCCACCACTATTCAGAATTTAAAAATCAAATTTAAAATTTAAAATTAAAATTTGAAAATGAATATTTCAGAAAGCAGTGAGATATTATTAATTTGGAGATTTCAATGTAGAAAGTAGAGGTACATTAAATGAGCTGTCTGCCATCCACAATTGTTAACATATCTCCTTCATTGATTTAAATTACAAATTCGATTTTATTTTTTATTTTTCTATTTATTCATTTTTACCAAAGAAGGAAAGATTTTAAATATTTTGTAGTCT